AGGTGTTTACGAGCACAGCGTGCAGGCTCTTGTTCACTGCAGGTGAAAATGCACAGCAAACGGTGGTGACTGTGTTGAAAAGTAGCTGAGAATTTGCTTTGTCAAATAGTTACTGTTATTGTGCTGCTGCCAGGCCCTCAGTGGCCATGCTGGTCTTGCACCTGAGTGTAGGACAAAATCAACAGCCCCTAAATAAGGAGGTTCCCAGAGAGCCCCGGGACATCTGTTAGTGTGGGGCTGGGTTGTGACACGAGCACTGCTTTTGGAACGGGGGAGAAAGGGACAGATGGGAATCAGGGGCAGCTTAGCACCACTTCTTGATGGTCTGCTTCCTCTACTGGAACCATTTTCTCAATCATCTGGAAGTAAGCCATTAGCTGTTCCTACTCTGCTCTCTGCGGCCTCACCTTGAGCACCGTGTGCAGGTTTGGGCACCGCCTGCACTGACAAAACTATCAGAGCGTGTCCAAAGGAGGGCTACGGAGATGGGGATGGGGCTGGAGGGCGAGATGTACGAGGAGCACTGAGGCCGCTGTGTTTGCGCAGCCCAGAGCAGAGGAGCTGAGGGGAGGCCTGATGGCGGCTGCAGCTCCTCACAGGGAGCGGAGGGGCAGCGCTGAGCTCTGCTCTGTGTGACAGCGACAGGGCCCGAGGGAACGGCATGGAGCTGCGGCAGGGGAGGGGCGGGTGGGGGTCAGGGACAGGGGCTGCACCACAGGGCGGTGGGCATGGAACGGGCTGCACAGGGCAGTGGGCACGGCCCCGAGTGCCGGAGTTCAGGGAGCGTTTGGGCAGCGCTCTCAGACACTGGGTTTGGATTTGGGGTGGTTCTGTGCGGAGCTGGGAGTTGGACTCAGTGATCCCTCTGGGTCCCTGCCTAGTTTTGGGATATTCTGTGATTCTATCACAGCGGGGTTTCTTTTGTACTTTTGTTGTTTGTGTTTTTCTTGGCTGCTCAGCAAGCTCTGCCTCTCTTTCAGTACAACGGCGTCTGCCTGCAAGGCCCCAGCGGCGTCCCCGGACGGGACGGCAGCCCTGGAACCAACGGGATCCCGGGGACACCGGGAATCCCGGGGCGGGACGGGCCCAAGGGAGAAAAGGGCGAGTGCATGAGGGAGAGCATTGAGGAGTCCTGGACGCCCAACTTCAAGCAGTGCTCGTGGAGTGCACTGAACTACGGCATAGACCTGGGGAAAATAGCGGTAAGCTGGCTCCAGCGATACCGCGGAGGCTTTAAGATCTGAAATTGTGGCAGGGTAACATAAATGCCATACAGCTCCTGGTACGTTTCCTGTTGCAGCCTTTTTTGAAATGTGAGGATGGACTCCTCAGGTTCTTTGCTTCAGGTCCATCTCGGCCGTGTTCAGCAGCCATGTGCCCACTTGTCAGTTTCTGTAGTGGCATTCCAAAGAGTGATGGGGCTGTGGTGCCTGCGTAGGGTTAGGTCTGTGACCGCAGGGCTGAAAGGAGCCCTGTCAAGCACCTCTGTCTGTCCGGGGCCAGGGGAGGTTTTCACCTCTACAGGAAGATTCAGTATTCCTAAACCCTCTTAAAACCTGAAACTATTTCTTTAAAGTTTTTTAATCAGGGTTTAAGTAGTTCCTTTAGTCCTGTTTTATTTTTTTTTAACCAAGACAAATCTTGTGAGCCTTATGAAATCCAGTTGTTGTATTGCAGACAGAAACTGCACTGTCCACTCATACAAGAATTTGAGCGCAGCTTTCAGACAGCTCATATCCCCTTACCTAGGCCCCCAGAAGGTGACAGTTACCAACCTAACTACAGGCATTACCCAAATAAAATTAAGAATTCTCATGATCCCCCTTCTCCATTATCAGCTATGGGGTGCAGTTTCTGATTTGCATCTTTGCATCACAAAGTATTTTTCAGACTTTTTTTTTTTTTTTTTTTCCACAGAGAGAAGGAACTAAAACATTCTGAAAGCGATTCTAGGCAGTAGGTTCAAAATCAGAGTTTGCTACCAAAATGTTTTTGTCCCTCCTAGGAATGTACGTTCACAAAGATGCGCTCCAACAGTGCTCTCAGAGTCCTTTTCAGCGGATCGCTCCGGCTGAAGTGCCGAAGCGCCTGTTGTCAGCGCTGGTACTTCACTTTCAATGGAGCAGAATGTGCTGGGCCACTTCCCATTGAAGCCATAATATACTTAGATCAAGGCAGTCCAGAGCTGAATTCTACTATCAACATACACCGGACCTCCTCAGGTACGTGTGCCAGTGCTGCATGAACAGAATGGGTGAGAGGCTGGTAGCAGACCCAGGTACTGAATGCACAGTGCACGTCTGCTGTAGGAAGCCAAATAATGCCAAGAAGAGGCAGAAAAGTGGCCAGTTAACACCAGCTTCTCTTACTCTGCTTGTCACAACTGACTATAAAGAGTAACAGGATTAGAATTATTTATTAATCAGTACTTTCATACTGTCTTATTTTTCATGGTGCTTACGTCTGGCACTTTAGAAATGCTGATACTTTCTGCTGGTTGATACTTAGACTCCGAGAAGTATTTATAAAACCAAGTGTTGCATTACTTTAGCAGGCTTATGGTTATGAATACTTTCCAACATCACATCAGTGGTTTAAGCTGTATTTTGCTCTCAGAACATAGCTAAGGTGTTGTGAAGCAAGTGCCCAGCTGCAAAAAGCCATTTTACTTCCTATAATGTATAATGACTGCATAAAATCTAATTTTTTAGAATTTCCTTTCTTCAAAAAATGTTATTGAGATCTAATTACATAGCACGAGCTTGCAATGAACTTTTGTGAAGTACTTGTGTCCAAAAGTGTTTGTGTCTGCCGTGGTGACGTGGCATCTGTGTCTCACCAGTGGAAGGTCTGTGTGAAGGGATCAACGCCGGCTTGGTGGACATCGCCATCTGGGTTGGGACTTGCTCTGACTACCCCAGGGGAGATGCTTCTACTGGATGGAATTCAGTCTCCCGTATCATCATTGAAGAACTGCCAAAATAAGTCTCCCTCCCTTTTTATAATCCTTATTTTTATTTTGTACAATTTTCTACAAAAGTTATTTAGAGTTGGATGCAGGTTTTTGTCTAAAAGGCACCGAACTCTGCACCTGTAGTGTTTGTTTAATCTTTTTTTTTTTGCACATTGCAGAGGCTTTTAATAATAATCATTTTAGAATATAAATATAAAAAACAACTTCATTAACGTTTCATATCCCTTTTTGATATATGAAAATATACCACCACCATTTTTAAGTGTAATTTTTTTGTATCGAATAAAGAAGACTTTTTCCATAAAAAATAACATCCAAGGTATTTTATTGGTCAGCAAACCTTAAGGTATTTGACATGGCACTATGGTACACACTTGTTTTAGAAGACTTCAGAGTTGTACATAAGTACAGGTCTTGGCGTTAGTTTTTGAAATGTATACCCGTAACATCTGCTCCTGTGAGAGAATGTGGAAATGGATACTCTGCTGTTAAAGTCTTATGTCTCCCAGCAACCTCCTGTGACTTAACTGGCACCATGGTGACAATTGGTAAGTGCTAAATATGTTCTGAACAAGTAAGTGAAACCAGACTATCCAAGCTTTACTTCCCTCCTGCACTTGAGAGACCAGATTTCAGTGCAAACATCTATTAATCATCTATGCAAAAAAAAAAAAAAAAAAGAGTATTTTTACAGTTCCAAAACTCAGGTTTTATTTCCCTAACAAACAGTTCTGCTGAGTTTAGCCTGTCAGATATACACAATCACTTTGGTGTGAAAGCTGGATATGTGAAGTGGTTTGGAAGATACAGAATTAAGGCAGGCTGAAATGCCTTGGCTTTCCTAAAGTGGACTGCTCAGCTGAAAGAATGATGTTGCAGATATTTGACTGCAGCCTCCAGACTGGAGAAGAAATGAGGAGTGGCAGCACTGACCATGGTGTGTCTTGGAGTTAGTGCAGCATTAGCAGCAGTGCTTTAAGGATTCTCTTCCCAACGCAATAAGTGGTATACTCAAATCATAAAAAAAGTGCAGATTCTAAAGGGAAAATATAATCATGTTTACATTACAAAATCAATTTCACATAAATGCAATAAGAAAAACAAAAAGCATGTATAACATGCAGAAATATACCTTGTCCAGAAACTAAATGGAAAAGCATTAAATCTGAGAGATGAACTTATTAAAATAAAATCAAATTTGATAGCTATTTGATACTAAATCCTAACTTTTCTTCTGAACAGGTTATAAAACTTTCCCTAGCCATCTCTTAAATTGCTAGCTCATTGCACCTTTAAAATGCTAGAGGAACACACCTGCAGGTAAGAGTGCATTCAGGTTTTCCTCACTTTGAGCTTATGTGTGGTATGTGTGATGCTGCTGCAGGCCAGCACCTTGCACAGCTGCTCTTCATTTCTGGAGAGCTGTCACTATTTCATTGGCTGGGAAGATGATAGTTTTATATGAAAACAGGCACTATGAGTTAAGCCATGGTGTGAATTTACTGCATGTTAGGCAGCAGACAGTAGCCAATTGTGTATGTCCTAGTGACCTGTTTTTACATTTATCCTGGATCTCAAGTTCCATTTAGGTCTGGAACACACTAATCCAAGGAAGTAAGTGCATGACTTTTATTACTTTTTTATTGTTTATTCACTATATATTTTGGACCCTGCATACTAGAAACACAAAAACCTGTGTAAAAGCTTTCCATAGGCAAAAGAAAGTAGCTATTAATACTCTGTTAATTTGCACAGTAAATTTCTGGTAAATTTTGATTTTCATCTAAATGTCAATGGAGGATTTAATAATAATTAAAAAAAAAAAAAGGCAGTCACATGCTTTTTCAGATGAGATAACAATATATTATCAACTGTAACAGCAGAGAGGATGGGACTGGGAAGGAGGAGGTATATGTTATTAAAAAAAAAAAAAGCACACCCCTAGTGTGGCAATATTATCAACAGAAACAAGCAACCAGGTTGCTGAACTGAGATTCAAAATACCAAGCAGGTTTGGAGACTTTCAAATTAAGTAAAACCATCTCTCTTTAATTTTTAAAAAAATATATTAAAAATCAATAGCCTTATTTCTGCACTGGGTTATGTCTTCTGTTAATAATCACTTAGAGAAATTCTTGTTTGAGATGTTTTGCTGGATGATAGTGTTCTCTGCTTCATATAAAACTCATTATTCCCCCTCACCTGTTGAAAATATTTACTAGCTTCTTTCCTTCTCAGTTGATAATATCTGATACTCCTTCATACTCACAGTAGAAGGTAAATGTTATGGTCAGTAAATTATTTCCTCAATGATGAACTACACCAAATAAACCCAAGTCTCCAAAAAAAACCTCTCTCTGTCAGCAATTATTGGAATACAAAATAAACATTATTATTCAACCATACTGAAACATACTGTAATTCATCTAGATCAGAAGTCATTGTTTTCTAAGAAAGCCCTGTGCACAGAGTTTTTAGAAAACCTATGGATCTTTTTTTTTTTTTCAAAGACCAGTCTTTGTTAAAGTTGCTTTAAAATTGCAGCACTAATGAATTATTTGGATTATTCTTTTTTTAAAGTAAGCCTTCTTTCAAATAAGCAATATTTAGTCAGATGTACCAGTCATGGAGCCGTTGCCGGGGAGGGTGGGGTGATGAGAAATCAAATGAACTAAGTTGCCAACAATGTGCACAACAGACTTTGGTCTGGTGTTAAAAACAAGCCAAAAACCACACTGCAAATCTGCCTTGGTATGAGACAAGAAGTGGATTTCAATTTGCAATTACTGAAAACCAGGAATTGACAGCTGACCATTTTACAAAACGATCTGATTTTCCAAACTGCACCCCACCAAGGCTGCATTTTTTGTGTTGGATGACTGATGGAACATGGAGCATTCCACAGCCTAAAATCTTACAAGTAACAGAAATGGATTCTGAAGACACTGTTGTAAGCAGTTACATACATATTTTCTTCATGAGACTCAGATAAAGACTTAAGAAAGTTCAGACACTGCAGACACAGGAATTGCTTTTATATGAAGTTTTCTGTAGCACAATCTCACCAATTGTTATCTTGAGACCTGTCAAGCAGATTAGTCCATTATTCCAGGCAGGCCAGGATGAGCTGAAATGCTGCACAGCTGCCTTCACCCAGTCACAATGCTACTTCACACTTGCAGACATCTGTTTTGAGCAGACACTGCTGATTCAGAGGGAGAGGAATGCAGCAACACAGCAGAAGAGATGCAGACAGGGTTTCGCTACCTCAGAATTCCTTCTTCAAAATACCAGATCAATTCATAGCATCAAAATAAGCTGCTGAAGTAACTATCTTCCAGATCATAAATATAAAAAAATAAAGATATATTGACATATTTTTTATGAATAGAAACTTCTACTTTTAGTTATTTTCTTTTCTAAAACCAAGTAGAAAACCTGACACATTTTCATAAACTACAAAGGTAATGCAGCACGCAGGAGTCACTCTGATCACATTGGGGACAATTCCTTTGTAAAATCCATGAATTCCTTCTTTCCTTTAAAGACAGAGAAAAGCATTAACTTTAATATATTTTAAATAAAAATCAGACATAAAACAAAGCCTGGTGTTTTTCTCTTGCTCTCTCACTGAGGGAGACGTACTTTAGGGTAAGAATAATAATTTCAAAACAGTTTCTTACTGAAGTGCTTAAAGGGTCTTTATATCAAATCTCACTTTCTTTTACGAATATACAATAATATTCTGTAGCTCAGCTTAGGGTTTGGGTGGTGATTCTGTTGCTGTTTTGTCTTTTTTTAAAATGAATTCTTTAAATGGGATGCTATACTGTCTTTCTTCATAGCACAAGAAGTGGTTAAAATAACTTTAAATTTCTGCAGTTCCAAAAAACATTTGCAGATTTAAGCTCACTGAAGCCAACAGGGCTGAAGGTCTTTATGTTTTTGAGTCATTTAACAGCAAGGGAGATGAGGGAGAACACAACTAAGTTCAGTCAGCTGCTGAAGTCAGCACTCATTTTTAGAGAACTAAAGCACCTCCTCCAGCATTTTGAATCCGCTGGCCAATACATGAGAATCCAACTTTTCCCAGTTTGAACCACAGTATTCACTGTGTTAGAGTGTTTCAAAGATTTCTCATTTCAGCTCACTTTTTTTCCAGTTTCACAAGGCTCTGGAACATCCAGAATGATGAGCAGTCAAAAGAGATCCTGGAAAATGTTTGGGTATGCAAGATACTGCTCTCCTTGATGACCTAGGCTGCATTTGTTGATTTCATAATGAGTTAATGAAACTTAACTACTTTACAAGCCAGAAAGCAGCCAACTCAATGTTGGTTCTTTAACCTTACTACTCTGTAAGCAAAATTTGTTGGGGAAGATGATGAAGAGGCAGATCAAAAAACAGAAGTCTGCAAGCCAGCACTGACCATAACATATTTCTTCATTTTTAGATAATAGCTATTAGTAGCATATTCCACATAATGGCTTCATACAGATAGCCATTCAGCATGAAAGGCAGTAAACATGGTGATTCTGTAAGGCTCGCTTTTCCAGACACAAACTTAGAATTCTGTATGCCTACCTCCATGTCCTGCGGATCACATCTAACACACCAGAGTATCTATTATGCTGATCTTGAAGACGAGCTCGTACAACTTGATAGGGATACGTTGCTGTTACAGCAAATATTTTGGATACAGCTGCCATCATTATGTATTCTGCAGTGTTCTAAAACCAACAAAAATGAACAAGCTTACCTTAACCATAGCTTAAAGTAGACAATTTTCCAAAATCTGCTTTGATTTTTAAATATATTAACTAAACAATACTTTTTTCCCCTTTACAATGAACTTATTTAAGAAATTGACAATATTTACTATCTAGAGTGCTTCAAGTAACCAACTGTAAAATATGTTTTGCCCTCTCACTTCTATCAAGCAAACCACTTCTAGAAGAGTGTGTCAGGTGTTCCAAAAGCAGCAGTATCTTCACTCAGTTTGCTCCTAACTAGCTCTATGGGCAACTGTTTAAAAAGACTACCTATGATTCCACTGTTTTCCGAAGCCATTCTTCTCCCTAAAATTCTCTAGATACTTGTTAGTATCTAGAAATCACTAGAAAATGATTTCTCTAGAGAAATAGAGAACTAACCAGTTGCTTGTTCCCAAAGTGACAAATCATTATTTTCATATATTCTCATTTCAATTAATGTATCAATACTTTATAAACTTGGCTGTTCTATGATCTAACTGAATGGAATAAATCTCTACCTGTTCCCATGCCACAACACATTTTTATTATTAATAATTTTACCAATTTTGTATCTGACACTCTGTTTCTGTACTTGTTGTATCTCTGTTTCAAATCCTCATATGCCATGAACTGAAGTGCTCCATGTGAAGTTCCAAACAGACCAGGAACAAATCCCTAAAGAAAAAAAAGGATAAACAAGATTGAACAGCAATCCAAAAGAAGTATATAACATGACAGAGTTCATTTTGTGCACATACAAATGTCTACCGTTCCATTAAAAACAGATTGCACAACTGTTGCTGTGCTCGGTTGATATTCTTGAAGGCAGGCATCAGAAGTGTAATAAATGTTACTTTTCTCCAGGTGATATGCAGGGTAAGTTACTTAATGAGTGAGCAAGACAAAACAAGTGGCCTGGGAACTCCATGTAACAGAGCACAAGCACAAGTCTTAAAAAGAAAAGATGGTACTGTGGACGAGGAACCTAAGAATACAACCAAGCTGCATTTTAGCTAATGTGCTGCAGAGTTCCTGCCCCCCTTTCCAGGAGTGACAGTAAGCTGTTTACTTCCCCACTGAGACTGATGAGGCAATTACAGAAGCTGGTGTGAAAGAAGTGTATCAGTGTGAAGGAAGTGGTGTAAGGAAGGCTATCAGGAGCAAAGGTACGAGAACTCTTGTGATCAAGTCCTAGAGATAGATATGTACTTGTGTTGATAATATACATACATCGACATTTATATATATATACATAAAAATCTATAAAGTACACACACACGCAGCAGAGAGCCAGATGGCCCAGACGGAAAGTTAACTCATACATGTTTTTACAGATGATTTACATTAAAAAATAAATGTACGATTCAGATGATCAGTTTGAGTCATTCCTCACCCTGCTCATAGCATATCCCAAAGCAGCCCAGCAAAGCAAACTGCAAGAACAAATCACAGAACCACAGAATATCCTGAGTTGGCAGAGACCCACAGAGATCATCAAATCCAACTCCTGTCTCCACACAGGACCACCTCACATCCAAACCCTTTATCTGAGGGCGCTGTCCAAACGCTCCCTGAGCTCTGGTATGGGCAGCCCGTTCCATGCCCACCGCCCTGTGGTGCAGCCCCTGTCCCTGACCCCCACCCGCCCCTCCCCTGATGCAGCTCCATGCCGTTCCCTCGGGCCCTGTCGCTGTCACACAGAGCAGAGCTCAGCGCTGCCCCTCCGCTCCCTGTGAGGAGCTGCAGCCGCCATCAGGCCTCCCCTCAGCCTCCTTGTCCCTAAGCCAGTGGGAAATGTTGCCCGCTTCTAAGGAGCAGTAATGGACAGTAAGAGTATAGCACAGAAATTTACAGAAAACTTTGCCTTCAAAAAAGTTGAAGTGAAGGTGGAAAACAGGTACTGTTGGAAGTGTCTCTAAAGTAGAAGGCATGAGTTTCTTCAGGAGCAGGAGGAGCTCAGCTGAAAATGAGCTGACAGTTGCATGGCTTCTGCAGATCATTCTTTTTTGGGAAAGCTGGGCCTTCCATTGGAAAAATGCAAATAAATGGCAAATTAATCATCTTGACTGGAAATGATTTATACAAGCCAAAAGCTTGCTGAAAACTGCTGCAAAGGGAAAATTTATAATGGGATGAATGATCAAAATGTGAGTAAAAGGACTCAAAGAACCAAAGTTTCTCAAAAAATGCTGGTGTTGAGCAGTTTTATCTTATTTTCCATGACCCATTTAGGAAAGATAGAGGAATATAAAAATATATGTCCAGACACAAATCTCTGTATTATAAACTGGAAGCAAAGAACACTGAATACAGACAAATGAACGTATTACTAAACTTGGTGGAAGAGAAGGGAAGCAATCCTGGTCCATTGGAATGTCCATTGTGTATCAGGACAAAAAGATAAATTAGTCATAAACCCCTAACTTAAAGAAAAATTAAAACACACCAAAAACAACAGCAGGCATAAAAATCATACAGAGCCTCTATCACTTCAGAGATTAGCTCTCTGAAAGTTGTAGATTTCTTCAATCTAAGATATTATAGTCATTCAGGTCTTGATTTTTAGGGCTTCTATTTAATAGATAGGAATAGTTTCTTCTCACAGTAGAAAACAATGGTCATAAACATGTCAGGAACCACAAACCAATGAAATGAATTAAGGGCTAACAAAAGTCTCATAGCACTACGTAAAAAAATTAAAAAAAAACAACAAAATACTTCCCCAACTGTGAATATGTGGAATTGAACCAAAAATCTGTATTTTGTCAACTGTGAGCATAATCACAGAATTTTGTGAAGTTAAAGGCCACAACAGATGAGAAAGGACAACTTTGGTTTTCAGAAAACCTAGATCAGAAAGAAAATTCACTGGTAATAAATAATAATTAAAAAAAAAAAACCAAAAACATGAGGAACAGACAAAGAACAAACTTGTTGACAGTACCAAAGAAAAAATCATCTGGGTCAGAGGCATGAACAGTATGAAATGCTGTAGTGATAGCAGGGAAAAATCTTCCTAACCGTATGGTCATTATTACAGCAAAAATGTTTTAAGACAGAGAAAATAATTGCTTTCTACTTGGAAAGCATTAGAATGATGTACATCATAGGGGAATTAGGTAAAATTTTCCCACTAACAAAAGAAGAATGTTAAACAACACTTAAGAGTGTTCAACTCTTAAATTTAAGCCAGCAAATCTGAGTAACTTGCTCCCAAGAGTCCTAGAGTATCTACTGATGACATTTGCTAAATGAATACCAGCATGCTCCAAGTCTTGCGGTGATGGGGAAAACTTTCAACCACTGAAGAACCTTTAATGGCAGGCCAGTATTAAAACAGGCAGGAAGGACAAGTGAGACAACTGTCTGCCAGTCAGCCTCAGCAAAGTAAGAACTGACAGATGGTTCTACTGATCATAAAGAAGGAGGAATTTGAGTCAATGTGTTCCTAAGGAAAAATGTTTCTAGGCAAAACTGATTTCTTCTCAGTAATTAAATATCTGTCTAAGAAAGTTTTGGAATGATAATCCTACTCAATTTTCTTATTCTTGGAATTTTGCACAAATACCTTTTTTTTTCCATGAAAGTTTGCCATTTATTTTTTACCTACAGTATGACTGTAAAGTGAAGATTTTTTTTTTTAATTATATGTCTTAATATATTTTTTATTTTAAATAGTCAAAACATATATTTAAAAGAGTTTTTCCATGAGAGCTTGACAGAATCAATCTTTGCTCAAAGAAGTCCTACTTGAATTCCATTTTGGAGGATTAGATGAATGGACACAAATATGTCATTAGACATGGAAATGGTGAAGCATTTAACTCTGAACAGTAAATGATATGGGTTAAAAAAATATGTCTTTAAACAACTGTAAGCGTGGAAGATCCAGAACAAGAGAAAAGCATCCAGTCGGTTTGCATTTCAGATGTCATCACCAAAAAGAAAAAGAACCTAGGCAAACGTACAGAGCAAAGCCTGTGCTTCTTGATAAAAGCAGGGAACAAAGTGATGAAATACTCAGAACACTGTCTGTAGTGTTTGTGAGAGCTCATGCCACAGCAGCCTCTGCTATATGTTTAGAGGAAATGTAGCACATTCCCCTTGCAATCTGTGTAGCACTGTCTTCAGTTGGGTTCTCAGTACCAAAGACCAGCAGTACTAGATTGCTCTGCTCTGACTACTTGTGCAGAAGGATTCTAGAAGAATGCCATTATGTCCTTATGCCATCTTGATTCTTTCAAGGCAAAGAATGATAGCATCTTTTATGGAAAATTCTTCTCTCTGAACTACATTTAAATGCAAGACAATCAGATGCCAATGGACTTCGCTATATGCAAAAACAGAGAAATAGGAAGTCATTCAGCTTACAAACTTCAGAATAGCACACACAAAAAAAAGACAAAATAGAGAAGTGTTTTAGACATTAATGGACTGGAAAAAATACTTTATCCTCAGAGTATATAATCTTGCTTACCAGAGGTTAAACTGTCCAACAGAAGTGTCCAATATATTCTGTTTTCACTTGGTAACGAGCATATAGCACTGCTAGGATTTCTTTGTTTGTTCTTAGCACACTACTTTATTATTCTCAGTCTTGATTATGCTACATTTTAAATCTCCTTAAACTTTCTGTATTTCCCATCTTTGTTACTGTTTTCTATAAGCTTTGCTCTAACTGCTGCCTCTACGTCACCAATGAAAAAGAATGAAACTGAAAACACAAATAAGGAAGCATGGAGGCCAAGGGCACTATTACCATCTGATGTTACAGTAGTCAGGCTATGCCAGACAGCTACCAATGTGTCCAGAGCTCAAGGATATTTTATGTTTTTTTCCCAAGGTGCAAACTCCTGAAACAGTCTTAGGACTGTTTTAAAATGTTTGATCTCTTGTGCCTTAGACTTGAAGAGCAACATGTGCTGATGGCTGCATGACATTCAACTTTGTGAGGCAAAGTACTTTTCAGAGCTCAGATGTCCAACAGATCTATTAGGCATCTTCAAATTGCATAACCCCAAGGGTGGATTTTTTTCTTTTTCCCAGCTTGGATGCAGCAGAGCAGCTCTGACCTCAGCTGTCTCAGGGATGGAGGGTGTGAAAGATCTCTGACTAGATTACTGGAATGACCAGTGAAAGAAAGGCTTCTATCTCTCTACAAATCCAGGCCAAGTTCAAGAAGCACAACTTCACTTAAACTACAGTTTAATAAACAAACAATACCTAGCAAATAGCACTGATAGCTACAAGAAAAACTGGTACAGTTTTACATCACTAGGCTTTGCCACAAATGACAAACAACAGTTGCTCAGACCAGCAGCAGTACAACAGAGAGCAAGATATGGAATTGCTCGGAGGACAACACCATTCTTGGGAAAACTAATCTCAAATGCATCAGAAAGCAACTATTTCAAGATTTTATTTCCAATTTGCAGTGCCATTTTCCTTATCTGCTATAACGAACTCTTCCTGAAATTAAGGTCATGAGGAAAAAGAAGACATTCATCTGCATTACATCTCCTGCAACTCATGGTGATTGAAAACTTCAGCCTATATTTTTCACTGCAAATAGAAGTTGATGCTCAGTAATCAGGACAATTCCTAAGAGATAGTGTTCTTGTTCTATAGCACTACTTGCAAGAGAAGAGCCAGATTGAACTGAAATAGGTTTCTTCACACCTTCCAGGGACTGATGAATGCATCTTGATGTAATGGCCAGAAGGAAGAAAGAGGCAAAAAGTCCAAATCCAGTTGCCATCTGTTTCACTAAATTAAAGGGAACAAAAAACCCACACATATGCAGAACACATTTAGAAGTCTGCAAATTTTATGCATCTTGAGATGACAGATTACAGACCTAAATAACTAGGGGGCAAATGAGCAGTTGTGAAACTGTCCATTGTAGACAAAACATTAGCAAGTACTTTAGTCATATTATATTGTACAAGATGTCAGAAAGACAAAGATAAGAGATGAAATGAAGGAAAGCACTAGAAGCACTACAGATTTGACAAAGGCTGTCCTCTTTATCCAAATCCTAGTTATGAGAAGACTCTAAACAATTAAAAAGCAGCTTGTAGTTTACCCTCATTTCAGTATTTTCAGAAGATGGCTTAGACATAAAACTTACACTCTATTCTTCAATGATTTCCTACCTTTCAATGCTGTAATTGCTTCTCGTAAGATTAAGCTCTTTTATGTAATCTTTGCTTTGACTAAGAATAAAAATAAGCTAGTACAAAAATGACTTGTAGGTTTTTTTGAGACAAGTATGTGCAAGCTTCACAGCACTACTGACTGGTGCCAGTCAATCCTTGAGATTTTTCTTAAATGTTATTACCTTATACAAGCCACGTATGCCCTCCGTCTTGTATATCTTTACAAGAGCATCAGACATCCCTGCGTACTGTCGCTTGGATGGATCAACACCAGCATCATATTGTAACACAAGTCGTGTCTTCGTTACCCATATTGGGTTCGTAATACAGAGAGTCATGGCTCCTGAGAACAGATGGAAGTTAGACTGATCATTTTGCCCATGCCAAAGCTTGTCCCAGTTAATTCAGTTCGATGTAACACAGGCTTCTACAATGACAAAACTACTTATTCTTCAAGACTACTCATATTACTCCTAAGAGGCAAAGTTTAGGCATGCTGTTGTTTTCTCCCTCTGCCTTCAAAGCTCAAAACCAAGTCTGAACTACTCATGCAGAGAGTACTAAGAGCACATAGCTTTTTTTACATTCTCGGCATATGCTCTTTTTTTGCTTCACTGTTCCACAGTCAGTAGTGCAATCTGTACTAGATAGGAAACCTCAGTATTTTCATTATGCTTTCTTATTTGAAAGCATAATGAAATGAATTGTCTTCATATATACAATTATTCAAAATTCAGTGGACAGTTCAGTCATGAGAAGTTTACTCAATTGTATTTATACAAGCAACTTCTTGTAGCTACAAAGACTACTGAAATACAATATACATTTGAACAGTATATTTTAACAGTAAACGACTGCTATAGCATCCTAATAAAAAGTCTTCTAAATTGCCTACAGAGAAGCATACGCAATAAAGTTATGTTAGAAACAAAGTATGAAAAGTCATGATGAGTACAACTGTACTTTTATTTTGGATCTACAGTTTCTAAGAAAACCTAGAACTTACATAAAGATTTTCAAAAGATCTATGGCAAATTCACTTCTAATTTCAATAAGCCTTCTCTTTTCCAGATCTAAACATTTAATGTTTAATGAGTTAACAATCTAATAACAGCTAATTCAAATAGTTATGTTTAGGGACTCAGCGTTGTACTAAATATGAAAAAAAACCCTCAAGCTTTATGTATAATGAAAACAAGACCAGAAGGTATCTTAACAACTGCTACTTCTGAGCAAACCACAGTTAACTATCCATTCATTCTAGACATCATTAATTTATTTATAGACAATAAGCATTTGGACTCAAACACACTTGCCACCTGGAGTAAAACCAGCACTAACACACAAGGAAAAAGAGCAGCATATGGACAGGCCAGAAGAAAACATTCATCATTTCTGCATTTAACTCACCGGCCTCTGCAGCTGACACCAGGTGTTCGGTTGCAGTGAGACTTTCCAGCTTCCCTTCCTTCTTATAAGCTTTGATGGCATTGTAACTGGTTGCAGTTATAAGATATATTTTGGTAAAGGTAAAAACAAACTAAAAAACAAAGCCAAACCAAACTAACAAAAAAATAAACAACCCACCAAAGCAAAACTTACCATCTGGAAAAAATTAGGTGATAGATAACCTTGGAAAGGATTTTTAAGCTAACTATCATTGTTTGCCTGATGAATTGAAGAATTCATTAACTATTTGAACGATAGCAATACGTATTTAAATTGATCAAGTACTACTGAAAGAATCAGTGGGACTAGATCTTGAAAATGCTACTTGGTCTCAAGAATTAACTTCTAAAATACTAGGCTAGACAGTCTTCTTTTTAATTAAAATCAACACTGGTGGTTATTTACTTTCTAATTTCACTGAGCTTTCATCTCTTGATCTGATTTCCAACATTTGTGGTTTGAAAAGTGCCACTAGGCACTGAAGGAGCTCACAGAGAAGCTTGAGGACTGAAGTCCAACAAGTCTACACAACTGACATGGCAGAAGGATGCCAAATAATCATTCTCAAAAATGTTTCAGTTAATAGTGACCAGCAGTCAATCAGATCAGTTAGCTACTGGAGTAGAAAATATTGAATATTTGAAAATGGTCCTTATAAGCAAAGCACATCAATCAAAACAATGGAAGAAACTGTCAAAATTATTAAAAAAAAAAAACAGTTGACCATTCAGCTTTAGTAAAGAACTTTATCACGTTCTTTGATTCTTAACATACCAATTCAGGTTCTTTTTTTTCCATGAGCTTTTAAGCACAGTTTGAACTTTTAAAGGACTCTCCACAAATGATGTCACCATCTCTCAAGTTCTTAGTGTTTTCACAGCATCGAGGGGAATGCACTGTACTTGATAAAGTAACAGGTCTCTGACTCCAACTGCTCACACTATGAAACAGCAAATCATAACGATGGGTAACAGGCCTGGACATACTAAGAGGACTGCAAGTTTCTAAGCCATCTAGCCCATTTTTTATACCTGTTTAGAAAGGTGCTGTTTATATCTGAACATGACACTGCACAGGGTCTGACGCAGTTCTACTTACAAGAAAAAATAAAGTCCCCAGGAAGCCCCTGCTCCCACCATGTTGGGAGTTACTCCTTGGTACAAGCCTCGTAGTCCTTCACGCTTCCAGACAGTGGTCATACAGTGGAGAATCCCATTGTATTTTGGCCGCAGCTCCAATCCATCACTCACTACGAAAGAAAGAAATTACACTGAAAAAACACTGCAGGAAGCAAGTGGTTCAACTGTGTAAAAGCCACCCCACAGCACACGGCCTCCAAACAATGCTGCAAGCCAACGTAAATACTTCATTCATCAGCTGTATTTGAAAAGCACGCACAACATGGGGTTTACAGCTTCAGTAATTCTAGTCTTCGAGAACGTGAAAGAAGGAAGAAAAAACAAAAGAACTTCTAAGCTCTGCAGGAGGAAAGTTCTCATCAGTCTGAGAAGACTAACCGCACTGATGGGTGTTTTTGGAGAGCAGCTGCTTTGACCTGTAGTTTTCTGTCCTCTTCTTCTTAGCACCCCAAGAATTTCATATCATATTTCAAGTGATTTGCGTGGGCTCTTTGAGAACAAGTTTCTATTACAAGTTTGGGAAACCCCTAAATAAGAATTCTTGAAGTTAAATCTTCTCCTTGTGAATATAAAGGCCCCAGTATTTCCAATAGGTCATGTGTTACTGATTCCGAAGTCAGTTTCTGCCAAGACTCAAAGGTTACTTCCATCATAAATTCTTACGTTCTTCTTTTCTCATTGTATTGATTTGCAGGAAAACATCAAATAAACACAATTCTACTTAATAACCAAGCTGTTTGCCCAAATATTCATAAAATGTCACTGCCAACAAGACAAAGACAATGCAAACCTTTGCTTGACAGATTTTGTTTAGAACACAGACGTTCACACAACTTACAGCAGTAAGGACAGTTGCTGCTGTCACAACAACAAGGCAATTTGTTGATTACTGATGACAGTGTAAATTGCAGGCACTTTTACTCTTCATATAGGCAGAAGGTTAGATTGAAGTCTTACTTGAGATTGAAGTTTTACAGTCAGCATCATTTCTATACCCCAGCAAGACATTAATCATTTATTACAGACGTTTTCTGTTCAGCGCTGCATTCATTACTCCTGTATATTTTGACAGACTTCAGCACACATAAAATGCTTTTTTTGTGAATGTACTGTGACGAGGTCTCTGTATCTTGACAATCACTGAAAACTAAAACACAAAATGAGGGCTCCAAAAGTAATTCCTCTTGTTTGACTATGTTGGCTCATGACATCAGAGGCAGATGGTGGTGGTACAGCAGCAGAGGTTGAACCTTCCCAACCATATTCTGCTGTATGTTGTTGCCACATTGCCCCATGGCAGCAGAGGGGCAGTCTGACAGAATGGTGTCTGACATGAAAGTGTGTATGAAGCAAAGATGTGCCACTGAATTCCTCCAGGTGAAAAAAAAATTGCAACTGCTGACATTCATCAATGCTTTCTGAACATTTACGGAAACCAAGCAGTGGATGTGAGCACAGTGAGGTGGTGGGTGGTGTGTTTCAGCAGTGCCACTGGATCACTGCACTGGTACAGATTTTTACAGGTGGGGCATGCAAGTTCATCACTGGTGAAAATGCACAGATAATGGTGGTGATTATGTTGGAAAAATGTGTTCTGTAGCTGAGAATTTCCTCTATCAAATACTATTATTGTGCTCTCTGCATCAGTTGTAGTTTCCATGGAAATAAACAGGAAGTATTACTTTCAGAGTCACTTATGTAAAAGCCTTTTTCCCCTACTGAGTAGCGCTGGATCTTTCTGAAAGACCTTTGCAATTTGTTTTTTGTAAACCATGTTGCCATTAAATCAGGTTTATAAGCACATTAAACAAGGTAGGAAATGAGAGACATAGTTGCAAATCTGTCCGTCAATCAATTATTTTACCAACGATCAACAATTAATGCAGGAGCTACTCTATTAAAGCACAAGCTTAAGATTTCATAGTCTTTATGAGTCCAACCAAAACCTAACAACCAGACACCAGGAAAAAACCCAAACCATCATATGAACATGTAGTGGAAATGCTAAGTCATGGCCTGAAACAGTGAGCACCTGGTGGGCAGGCAAGGCAAACCCAGGGGAGCACAGGTGTGTGCAATGCATCTGAACGTCCAGCAGGAGTGGAGCCAGGATCCACCCCTTCAAAGACCTCATTTAAGGGTTGGCAGTGGAAGTGAGGGGCATCTCTTGTTGGAAATCCTTGAGGCCTTCCAAAGGTAAGTGATTCTTTTCCTTCATTTCTGTGGCTGCTGCATTTGGGCTCATTCTCATTTGCTGTAGACAAAGACTTTGGTACCTTGCTAATATCACAGTACTTTCTATCCCGTTATAGTGTTACAATAAGCATGGACTAATTTAGGCTAGAAGGGGCCTGCAGAGGTTATCTAATGCAACTCTCTTCAAAACAGATCTGCTTACATTGGGGAATGCCAGTTAGTTCCTGAATGTTTCCAAGGCTGAAAATACTACGGCCTCTCTGTACAACCTCTTCCAGTATCTGATCACTTCCATAGTTAAAAATCACTCTTCTTAATAACAAACTAGAATTTTCCATGCTCCAGCTCATCTCTGTTCCCTCACCATTTACTTCTAGGAAGATCTGGCTTCATCCTCTCTGTGCTCTCAGTTACTCCAGAGGGTGAGCTGCTGCTGTCTGTCAGCTTGGCCTCAGCTGGCACTGCAGTCAGCATTGCTGCCTCCATGGGAGCTGCTCCAACACAACGCTTTGTGTTGCAGGCCCTGTGTTTCAGAGCTAGACAGGGAAATGGACCTGTTTCTGGAATTCACTCAAAATGTACTGCATCAGTGTTTGTACATTCCATAGTACAGTATTTCACTTTTGACAACCACAAGTGAATCACAGAATGACCAGGGTTGGAAGGGACCTCAAGGATCATCAATCTCCAACCCCCCTGCTACATGCAGGGCCAACAACCTCCTCATTTAATGCTAGACCAGGCTGCCCAGGGCCCCATCCAATCTGGCCTTGAACACCTCCAGGGACGGGGCATCCACAACCTCTCTGGGCAGCCTGTTCCAGCACCTCACCACTCTCTCTGTAAAGAACTTCCCCCTGACATCCAACCTGAATCTCCCCTCCCTCAACTTAAAACCATTTCCCCTCGTCCTACAGTTATCTACTTTTTCAAAGAGTTGATTCCCCTCCCCTCTGTAGGCTCCCTTTAGGTACTGAAATGCTGCAATGAGCTCACCCCGCAGCCTTCTTTTCTCCAGGCTGAACAAGCCCAGCTCCCTGGGAATGTAAGATACCAACCCAAAGATACGGCAGAATCTCTATAGAAGAGAATAATGAGAGCAGTGACACCGTGCAGGCGAGGAGCTATTTCCATAAGGAACAGCCAGCAAGGCAGTTTTCTGCCCAGCAGCACGGCACCGTTACCCACAGGACTACAACGAAACTACTGTGCCTGAGGGCGGGCCGTGGACGAGCCGCCCGCCACCAACAGACGTCCTGCTGCGCCTGCGGCCGTGACAGCGAGAAGCCCGGGCAGCTCTGATCGGGCTGAACGCTCCGCCCGTAGGAACGCAGCATCCCACGGCTCTCGGCCGGCCTCACCTGCGAAGCGGATCTTGACCAGGTCCAGCGGATGCAGCACCAGCGTGGACACGACGCCGCCGCTCAGCCCGGCCGCCAGGTTCTCCAGCTGCACGTGCCGCAGCACGGAGCGCACGGGCGACGCCGGCGGCCCAACGGGGCACGCATGGCCCCGGGCACCCGGCGCCGCGCTCATCCCCAGCGGCGGCGATCTCGGCGCCGAGCCGCTCCGCGTCTCGCGAGACTGCGCCGTGAAAGGCGGGCACGGTTCTTCCGGTCACGTGCCGGGGAAGGACGCGGCCGTTGGGCGGCGGGACGGAAGCGGGTGTGCGTGCCCGTGTGCGTGCTCGGCGGCGAGGATGCGGGTGAAGGTGCTGAGCCGCAATCCCGACGACTACGTCCGGGAGACGAAGCTGGATCTGCAGCGCGGTGAGACGGGAGGGAGAGATGGAGGGAGGCCGGCTCCTGGCTGGGCCGCTCCCTGCTCGAAGGCTCCCGCGCTCCTCCTATGGCCGCGGGCGTGGGAGCGCTTCGCGGCGCTTTCTCGTCCCGGTTCTGGTTCTCGAGGGCCGCCCTCAGAGCTGTGTGGTTACTCGTAGGAACGTTTTGTACTCGGTGCTGATTCTTTCCTGGTGCCTCATCCTGTAGTACGTCCTATACTAAGATTGGCAGAGTCTTGCTGGTTTTATTGACGCTCTTTAGACGACTCCGGCCTGGCCGATGAGCGTGCCCTGCTCTCCTGCTTTCCTGTTCTGTTTCCTGTGTTCTGCTTTCCTGGTATTTGTCACAGTTCGTCTTGCGTGATCACACCTTTTCACCTCTAATGTGTTGAAAATGAGACACAGCTTCTCCTTAGTGTCAGAAATCAAGTGTGCAAAACCAGCAGCCCTTGTCAGAAGGAGCAGGAGTGTATCTCCCAGTACTTAAAGGGGGATTATAAACAGGAGGGCAGTCAGCTTTTTACTAGGGTGCGTAGTGATGGGACAAGGGGGAATGGCTTTAAGCTCAAGGAGGAAAGGTTTAGGTTGGATGTCAGGGGGAAATTTTTTACTGAGAGAGTGGTGAGGTGGTGGCACAGGTTGCCCAGAAAGGCTGTGAATGCACCATCTCTGGAGGTGTTCAAGATCAGGTTGGATGGGGCCCTGGACAACCTGGTCTAGTACCAGATCTGGAGATTGGTGGCCCTGCATGTGGCAGGGAGGTTGGAACTTGATGATCCTTGGGGTCCCTTCCAACCCAAGCCATATTATGATCTTGGCTGCATGAAACCAAGTCCCATCTTAAATGGCCCACAGCAGTTTAAAGTGCATGTACTTTGTTATTGGGTTGATTCAGAGATAAGTGGCTGTGCTATCATAGCAGCTCTTCATAATTACTTCATTGGGGCTTTGTAACTAACACACTGAAAAAGATTAAAGTCACCAGCTGGGACAGAAACTTAACACATCTTTATTTTCCTGGTGTGATTTGTATGTAAGCTGTTAAAACAAATTCTTTGGGTGGTACCCAACTCAATTTCATCAGATTTCAGAGGTTTTACTTTGTGTCAGATATCCTTTGGAAGTCAGCAGGCTGAACTAAGGATTAGTTTATGGTGCATGATCTGGTGTCATTTGCTCTGTTGCGCTTTCAGCCTTTTTGCACAAACCAGAATGGAGCAGGTGGCACCAGAAGCACCCTGTCGCAATACCTCCTGTCTTTCCCAGTTTCTTGTCATGTGTATCTCCATGGGCAGACACAGGGTGGCCCTTAGTATTGGGTGTAAAAGTCTCAGTGTCCCAAAAACTACCCCCCTGGCAGGAAAGTTAATGGGAAAAGCTTTCTAATCACCTTGACCTACAGTTCTTATCACATTACTTATGTCTGTGCTATTCTTCTTGCAGTTCCAAGAAACTATGACCCTGCACTGCATCCATTTGAGGTTGCACGTGAGTATGTCAGAGCTCTGAATGCAACGAAGCTGGAGCGGGTGTTTGCAAAACCTTTTCTAAGCTCACTCGATGGCCACAGAGATGGAGTTAATTGCATAGCCAAACACCCAAAGAGTTTGTCTACAGTGCTGTCTGGAGCGTGTGATGGAGAGGTAAGCAGTAGTTAGAAACTTCAGTGGAAAGGTTTGCTTCTTCTTTTTCATTTTTAAATGCTCTCTACTTTGTGTGTGGGTTTGTTTTTTTTTTTAGCTGTGGTATTACCTTTTGTTCAGATGTGACCTTCTCTCAGAGGTGCAGCTTGCCCAGTTTGGGACAGCATTCCTCAAGTTGTAGGTTGTGACCTCCCACTGCATACAGAATTTCAAACAGCTTTAGACAGCAGCTCTCAGCTGTGAGTAGCAGCTGTGACAGTTCTTCAGACTGCCGCTGTGAATGTGGATATTTGCAGTCTGTGATTGTTTTTTTTTTTCATATTCAGCACTCCCATCCCCTCCAAAGAAGGTGAGCTGCTGCAGTCATAAGATTACATGTAGTCAGATAAGATGTGGGAAGGGGTACACAATCAAAAATTTGTGGAATAGTATAGCATATTGTTAAAAACAAAACCATCTCTTTATTTGCTTGAAATTTTAAATAAATATTAAAAATAGCAATCAAGGGTATTTTAAGAGTCAGCTGCAAGGGGGGAGGGAATTGCCTGTCTTCTCTGTACTCTCTCACACACTACTTCATTTGATAGACTTTGTATATTTTAAAGAGGTATTCTGGGTAGTTCGTTGCTTTCTGCCTCTTACAGAATGTATGCACATCATGCAGTGGTGTAGGGAAGGTTAACTTTTTTTGAAGAGGTGGGGAATATATTTATGTGAAGCCAGACTTCTTATCTGCTGGTAGAGCAAGTGCAGTACTGAGTGCTGACAATACGTAGAAATAGAGCTCCTCTGTTTCTTTTTTTCTAAATGAGCCCAAATGTTCTCAAACTGAAATACTTTTGGAAGCTGGACATCTGTATAAAATGAACTGCAGCAACTGGATACTTTGTTTGCTACAGAGGTTATTTTCTTGTATTTTTCACTGTAAAGAGGTAATATTTGCTGAAATTATCATTGCTGTTGTCTCTTAGCAAGAATTCTAGTTCAAAAATAGGGGAATGTAAAAATAAGGGAAGTGTACAGTCTAGATGGGTAAGAAGTGAGAAGCTGCACTTCTGAATTTTCTTTTTCAAGAAGGGAATAAATAATTTCGACATTATAAAATCTGGCCATTTTCCAAGCTAGCATAGCTGGTTTGTTACAGCAAGTGTGAGCTCTTATACTTGAGTTACAGGCTGTAGGAAACAAAAGAACGTAAGAACATACAGAATACTCTTGCTTTTTTAACAGGTTAGAATTTGGAACTTGACCAAACGACAGTGTATTCGTGCTTTACAAGCCCATGAAGGCTTTGTTCGAGGCATGTGTGCTCGTTTCTGTGGTACATCATTCTTTACTGTAAGTATATTGTCTCTCCTTAATGTAGTCTAACACCTGTTCACCATTTGTTTTCTAGTAGGCAACTTCTCTTCCATACAACAGTTAATGAGTACCAACTCTGAAGCTGTTTATATTTTATTCAATTTGTCTCTGAACCTGACAATTGCTTCTGATGAAGATGCTTTTTGGTGCTGTTATGTGGGTATAATTCAAGATTATGGAAGAAATAAATACAGATAATTGCTAGAGGATGGCCATCTAATTACATTTTGAATAAACTAGCTTTTGTTAGAGCAACAAGTATATTATATTTATTGGAAGATGTATGAGTATTTATTCTAAATATTTCTGTAGCCCTGTTGTTAAAGATAGGCAGGTAATTCAAGATGGCTTCCATTGGGTAATCATGTTCAGTAAAGTTATGTGAGTAAGGCTTTATTCATTTGTATTAACTTCATCTAATTGAGTTGCACGCAAGCTGTCTGAAAGTAGCAAGTCTTCCTGTTTGCATTAGAACAATTCTGTGATGATAAAATACAATTAGTTTCTTTAACACTGTGGAGTATTGAGGTTGTAGATCTTCTGATCTTGACAAAAAAGAAATCGCTCACCTCCTCCCTCAAGAGTTATTTTAACTACTACATATTTATCTTTTCTGAAGTAGATGCCAGGTTATGAGGACACTAGTTACAATGTTAAGAATGCATCAGCAGGAAATTCTTAATGACTCCAAATTAGAATCTCTTTGTTGATCAGTCTTCCTGAAAATTGAGAGAGGGGAGGAAGAAACAGAAGAGGATGTTAAACTTGTATAGCTAACTTTTTTTCTCTGCTTCCCTGACCCAGGTCACTGTGCAGTGATGGGGAAGGTTGTGTTGGCATAGTGCAAGAGGCAGTGTGGTGTTAGGCACATGCAACTGGAGCAACTGAACTGGAGTGCCTTGCAACAGTTTAAATGCTTATCAAATGATTCCCAAAAGATAATGTGGAGTTCAAGGTGCCATCTGATTAAGAATCACAAAATATAGCCTGACATAACTGTTCCTCTTTACGGCTTACTTTTTCTCCTATTCAATACTGGAAGCATCTCCTTTAATAGTTGGAAAGTATCCACAGTGACAACTAGATCAAAGAGGGTTTTGGGGGGACAATGTTTAGATGATTTAGATAAAACTTAGTTTAAAAATCTAAAATGTTTTAATCTTAATTTTTTTTTTTCTTAAAAAGCAATAAAAAGGAAATTGCTCCATTGCTTCCACAGGCAGGCTGTCTATGAGCAGCAGCCACCTTGGAAGTCAACATCTCTCTCACATTTTCTTATTCCTCTACCACAGTTTTTATTGCTGATGTTACGTAGCACAGAACACCCCTCTGGCCAGTTCAGGTCAGCTGTTGTTTCCCCCCCCTTCCCCCCCCCCCCATAGTCTTCTTGCAGTCTTCTGCCCAACTCTAGCCACTTGCTGATGTGAACGTTAAGGATAACAACAGTGCAAGCACTGTTCAGCAGTAGCCAAAACATTGGTGCTGACAGCACTGTTCTTGCCACAAATCCAAAGCCTGGCACCATATGGACTATTGTGTGAAGAATGTAACTTTATCCCAGCCAGACCATGTACGTGTACTTTATCAGTTCTTAGTGAAATATTATGGTAAGTGAAACCAATTTTCTTGCAGATATAAAAGTGAATGGTGAACAGAGAGAGCACTTTATTTTTGTAAATCTAGTAATCCATTCTACTTTGTAAAGTTCCTCGTTCTTAGTTGCACAGACATCTGGTGAAATAAAGCAGAATATATTTTTGTAAAATGCATCCTTTTTTTCACTCTTTCCAGGTTGGTGATGACAAAACTG